AACACACCACTTGATATTCGAAAAAGCGTGAACTACCAAACAAGAAACAGAACTACACAACCAATTAATCCATATTTCATTGCAAAAAAAGGAGCATATACAGCAGGCATTTTGGTAGCAAACATACCAGGAGAAAACAAAGATGAACAAGTCAAGTACCTAATGAATATCTTCAAGCTATATAAGACTGAGAGCAACCTCATCAACATGGAATTTACCAACAGAAACTACTGGTACACAATATACTTCAAACTACAGTTTGACCTTATAGGTTGTGTTGAAAAGACAAACAATAAGGAGAATGGAAATCTCAAGATCTTATATCTAAAAGGAGGATCAGAAAAGGGAAAAAAAGAATCAACTAAAAAAGAGATATCATCTCAATTGCATGCCCAAACAACAACACAAGTACCCAAGTTAGCAAACATCCCACTACCTCCCAAAAAAGATGAGCCCACCAAGACACCAGCCACACCATCCAGCCAATCCAATATATACAACCTCAAGAACAGCTCATCACCCTATGGCATCAGCATATTGATAGAAACCTTTCCTGGAAACAATAGGAAAGAACAATTAGACCTAATCACAAAGATCTTTGCAATTCCAATCGAAAGCTCATTCATCAATGTAGAACACATTTAGGGAAATGGATAGTTCACTGGATATTTTAATTCAGAGAGGGACAGGAAAAGGTGCATTAAGGAACTAAGCCAGGCAGACAAAAAATCCCTAACAAAGGACATCAAAGTACTTAAACTGGATGAGCTTGAATTGTAACGACCCAAGAATTACACAAAAGCCATATGGTCAACAACAGACAACCTTCCTGAAAGCAGCTTACCATTCAAACACAAAGAGAAATGCAAAGAAAAGGCCACAAACATGCCAAATATAATTTATCCCAAGACACAAGATGCAGAAACAGAAATCATAATTCTGGATATTCCTTGCAACTTTTTTAAACACAGAATCTAAGGAGCAATAAAAAATTATGATACAGTCACACAAATGAACACACAGATGGAGGAGCAAGGATGCTTCAAAACAGCAATAATAGTGCTTAAAGACATTAGAATAAACCTACAAGAAGTCTAATTCATTACAATTTTTGGTATTTGCCTCTCCACGTTTTCCTTAACTATCAATTATAAATTTTTGATCAGATTTAGGTCCGGACTATTCGATGGCCATGACATAAGATTCGGAACATTTTCAGCAAGGAAAGTCTTAGTCAAATGACTGGTGTGCTTGGGGTTGTTGTCTTATTAGAATTTCCAGTCACCCCTAAGCATCCTTGTAACTTCGGGAATACAGTTGCAAAGAATATATATATAAAATTTAGAATTCATAATTTCTGTAAAGCAAAATAAACTAGTCTTACCACTTGCGCAAAATCCACTCCACATGAAAACCTTCGTTTGGTCTTTAGATATGAATTTTACTGGTCATGTACTCTTATACCATCTTTTTATTGTGTTCTGGAATAATTGAAAAGCTATCTTATCTGTAAAAATAGTTTTTTTCCAATCGTCTTCTAGGTGTTCTTGAGCCCATTCGACGTGTTTTTGTATTTGATTGTTTGTTAGTATTGACATCTCCAAAAGAAGAGTGTTTTGATATCCGATTCTATACAAATGCCTCTAAATAATAGTGTAAGAAACACTAATACCCTTTTCCTCCAGTTTTAATGCCAATATTTTTAAAGAATATGAAGAATTCCACTGAAGGTATTGTCCCAACATTTTTGAAATGCTGCCGGCAATTTTTCTTGGTCGTCCATTACCTTTCTTGTACATGATTTTACCTTGGATTTTTAATTTTTTAAGGTTTCTGTAAATAGTTGCGAATGGTATACCAGTCCAACAGTAAATCTCACTAGCTTCACATACCTTCTGCCCTTACAAATGTAATATAATATTGTGCTGTGCTTCTTGCCTAGAAGGTGATATTATGTTAGTGGGTTTTTTTGAAAGTAACAATGAAATATGGTTGTAAGTATACATGTTGCTAAAATTCATAGATCCTTGATGCAATTGACACAATTATTTGATGCAATTAATTGAGTCACTATTAAAACATATAAATAATTGAGTCATGACACAATTATTTTTGAGGATTTTAGAAATTGAGTCAACAGCAAATAATTTATGCCACATGTATAGTCATAAGACAAAAGAAACTTGATTGTCTACCTTCAGTCCATATTCTAGTAAATTCTCATTACACTTCGTCTAAAATTAGTAAAGTTAGAGATAATCTTGTGATATGTAAATCTTTATCATTCTTTTTGCAACACACTGTATTTTTTCTTTATTTTGATTATTCATTTTGTTATTTTTTGAGAACAAATGGTTTCAATTCTTAACATTATTATAATATTAGATAACATTGTTGTTATTATATTCTAATGATTAAAAATGCTTGATATTACATTGCAAATTAGGAATAGCTATTATATTTGGGTAATTATTTTCGAAGGCGAACCGGAAATTTTCTGGCGTGATCCTAAAATTAAGATTATATATGTATTGTTTAAAAGTTTGGATTGAAAAAATCATATCTAGCATTTTTTTGCCTTCAAAAATAATTGCCCATTCGGTTAACTGCAACTAAATAATTAATCAACTAACCAATAATTAACCGGTTAGCTAGAATCACTAGTTATACTAACCAATAATATATTTGGGTTGGTACACAGCAAAACCATGCTTTGAAAGGTTTTAACAAAAATTGAAATTTTTAGTGGATTATACTCCCGAGAACGTCCTTTATCTGTGATAAAAGTTTGGATATATATTAATATATATTATAATTTGGTACAATCTCGCGCGCAATTTTTTAATTTTATATGACTCGATATATAAATTTAAATTGATAATCGTCGATATCTCCAAATAAGGATTTGTCTCAGAACATGGTTTTGCTGTGTACCAACCCATTTGTTTCTTATTAAACTTATTTTATAATAAGTAGAAACAAAGAAAACGATTAAAATAAATGCATCGCCCCAAAGATTATTATTTATTAATAATTTAATTTAATTTATATCATTTAATATGTTCGATTCGATAATTTCAAAGTCTTTTTTTTGTGTTGCAATATCTTTGGTGCTACTGTATAAATACTTACAATACGTAGACATCTTTATAATACACACTGTATAAAATAAGATCTGCAGACCTCGGTTCTAAATTAAGACTTTGTTTTTTGGTTCCGGTTTTAAAATTTGCGTCCCATGACCAGGTAGAGATAACAAAGTCTTTTCAGGACCGGATTTATTAAAAATTAGGTCAGGTCTTTTTGAATTCATAAATGTTTAAATATTTAGCATCCTTTTTATATAGCACGGAAATATCCACAGAAAATGTAGAAACTTCTGCATCTAAATCCGAATATAATAAGCAAGGGAATGATCACTTTGTAAACGAACGTTATGCACTTGCTGTGGAAAGTTATACTCGCGCCCTGGAAATAACTGAAATAAATGAACCTGAATCTGCAGTCATGTTTTATTTGAAGAGGGCAAAATGCTATCTTCAATTAGAAAGATTTACAGACGCCCTCTGTGATACTGAGACCATTCTTACAAGAGATCCACAGCACACAAAGGCAGCATTATTCAGGTCCAAGGCTTTCATTGCACTTAAGAGATACACGGAAGCAGTTGATACTTTAACTAAATTGAAGAAAGCTGCCAAAGAGTGCAACGAAACGATCGCTACCGCTCTGCAGCACGCCAAAAAGCTAGTTATCGAAAGTAGAGATGGGAATTACAACATCGTCGATATTCTAGACGAACTCCCTCTCGAAGGAGAAAATGGTGGATCTTGTCTCAATTGTTATCTGGATCATGCAGACTACATCTCTGACGCTATCGAACTCCGGGACACGGGATCGAAGGGCATGGGTTGGTTCGCCAGTCGAGAAATCCCGATTAATACATTAGTCATGGCTGTTAAAGCATTTTCGGTTGTTTTTTCGAGCGAGGAACCTTTGCAGGTAAACTACCGGCTACGCGATATGATTGCTGATCGCATCCGCAAGGATCCAGAACTTGGATGTGAGGTGTACAGGTTATACGCAGGTCCAGACCTCGTTTCTTACTCAAAGATCGATAACGAATCGCTTCGCAAAGTAGACTATGATCGGATTCTCGAAATTATTCATTATAATTCGTTTAATCCTGATGATTTGTTCCGCTACTTTAACGACCAAGGTGATATGACCTCCGAGTGTGGAAGGGGATTATGGATTGCACCTTCATTTTTCAACCATAAATGCGTAGACAATAACATCTCCAAAATTTTTCTTGGCGACTTTATGTTCCTCCGTACCAGTCGCGAAATTCATAAAGACGATGAACTTACCATCCAATATAAGTCTCCTTTGGACCCGGAGCGGTCAGAGGAGCTTAGGTCCTACGGGTTCAATTGTCAGTGCCGACTTTGCCAGCTTGATAGTTCCGAGTCATCAGTTGTTTCTCATCGTCGTGCTGAGCTCCTCGAAAAGTTTGATACAACCATCTTTCCTCGTCTTAAACTAGTTTGTAACGAAGGTGTTTCTGATCCTTCCCTTCTCAATGACTTTACTCGCCTTGTAACGGAGTTGCGTGGCCTACGCAGAAAAAACCAGGACCTTGACTTCCCATCAATTCAGCTACGGCATTACCTAACTGAACTCCTGCACCTCCTTGGAAAGTATGATAAGGAGGCTGAAGAATGTTCTCAGTTATTTCACTTTCATGTGCGGCACGACACAAGGTTATCTTGTAAAGTAGCATTCAAGCTAGCGACCCTCTCCACCATGGGAATCTCTCAAGATATCGACTGGTGCGCTATGTGGTTTGCAGGACTGCGAGTGCTGTTATACGTAGACGATAAGAAGGGAAATTATGGGGACGCCCAACACGCAGACATCATAAAGATTGCCCAAAAGTTTTTTAAGCAAGCAATATTGATATAATGAAACTATTGATATTGATATGCAATGAATGTTGATTAGGGGCGCACGATTTAAAATTCTTTATTTCATAACCTTGTTTCAATATTATGCAATAGTAAAATCATAATTTATATTCCTTTATTCTTTTTAAGGTGTGATATACAGTTTGTCTAAAAAGTCTTTAGACAAATATTTTTTATAATAAATAAATATATATTTAATTATTTGTTATAAAATTTTAAAGATATATTTTTTAAAATATAAAAAACAAATAATAAGTTTTTTTTAATACTTTATTAATAAATTTATTTTAAAATTTGATTTTAAAACTAAAAAAAGTTTGTTTAAAAATTTTTTAAAAATTTATATATATAAATTTATTTATAAATTATGAACAGAGACCTGTGGATAAATAGCACAGTAGATAGTACTCCCAGGTCACCAAACACATATCCCTAATTCAATATCCACAGGAGGCAAAAGCATATTTACCTTCATATGTAGGTTTACTGGATATCATGCATATATCGTATTCAATAATCCTTATCACATTCAAATTCAGTTAAGCTACATGAAGATGGAATCTTTGGTCTTCCCAATGATCGCAGGCTAAAAATAGGTCAAAACATAAAAAGTTGCATAAGGAAAGACTTCTGGTTTAATTTCAGTAAAATCTTACAAAAATCTCAACCCAAACTGGTGACAGCAGACTCTGTCACACAACCCAAAGATGTTAACCATAAATTGATCTATTCCAATTTGGAGCTTGAGGATCTATTCCATGAGTAGTGTTCATATGAACTTAAATGAACTGAAAGGGCAAAAGATTATTAACCATAGGATGTGACAATTCAGGCAAAAATCATTAAGACCAAGTGAGTCTGGTGAGGATTGTTAAGATTAAATCAGAATCCAAGCAAAGACGCCAATTCCACAGGTGGTGAAAATGGTAGTGCTGCGCTACGTTAGTGGCACATCCCGAGAATCAGTGATAATAGGTGATTGAAATAATTGAAGTTAATCTTTATAATAATATCCTATACTACACTGCTCCCTGTAATATGAACTTAGTAGGTTAAGTGAGTTTTAAACTAGTGGTAGGATCCCCCCCTGTAAAAAGTCCCACCTAATGTGTGGAAATATCTCCGGGTGTTTAAATGAATGTATAGTCGGGTTATAGTGGTTGGCGTAACTAGTCTTATAGCAATATATATACTGATGCAGTGTTAATTTACAGATTAACTGTAGAGACATAATGGATATCCATGTACCAACTGATTTCTGATTAATTTGTAAAAACACTTGGTGTCTATCTGGATATAAAATGCATCAATAAAGATTACATGTCTTGTGCACGTTTCACTCTAAAAAAATAAAAATAAATAAAAATAAATTATGGATGGAAAAATAACTTTTTCTATATAAAATTTTTTTAAAAAAATTATTTGATTAATAAAAAATTATA